TGAAAGGGCATTAAAAGGCAGTGTTCTGCTAGATAATTCTTTTTCATTACAACAATTGCTAGAATTGGCATAAGAAGTTTAGAAAGGGAAAAGAAGTGGTCTGTTGGACTGTGATTAAGAGGAAATGTGTCAGTAATAAGCTAAAATGAGTTTTCCAGCAAGCTGCTGTGATAACATTAGTACCTGCAAAACAAGAATCTGTCCTGTCCATAGGTTCAGAAAAAGAAGAGCTGGTTTGCTGCATACAAGCTAGGCATTCTTTATCATTAGTCAGCTCAATAACACCTAAAATGACAATGTACAATTAAGGTTAGGGTGTCATGGGGTTTATTAAGTATTACAGGCTGTTTGAGAGGTACTCCTTGTTCAGCTGAAGTAAGTAAGTTGTAAATAGAATGAGTAACATTCTAGCTGTTAATATATGACACATGATTTACTATGTTGATTGCTTGGCCTGAGTAGCTGGATTTGATGAACGCTTCAGCCTTGAGCTGTGTAATTCAGCTAATCTTCCTAATAGCTGGTACAGAGCTCTGTTTTATCTATGTTGTGGGAAGGACATGGCTAACAAATGGATATTTTAATTGCTGCTGAGGACTGCTTACCTAGGTGAGGGCTTTTGTAGTTCCCTGTGCTCTGCCATGGAGCAGAGGCACCAGGAGCTCAAACCAGAGATCAGCAGGCAACAACCACCAGCAGCAGCTGCAGTTCCACATGGGTTGGGTGGCCTGCCTGGACATGGAGAAGGACCCAATAAGGTGCTGTAAAGCCCCAAAAATCAGCAGTGAACTGAGAGGTGCAGGCAAGATTGGTGAGGGGCAGGTGCCTAAATTCTGTAATTCCCTGGGGATTTCTTTGTTCTGGGTCCCTCTCCAGAGACACACAGCTTATCTACTGCTCTAACACTCTGTTAAATTATTTACTTTTATAATCTGATGCCTGAAACTCTGCTCTGGGAAACCTGTTGTCTTTAATATAAGTCTTTGTGCTGTAGTACATATTACATGAAAATTGTTCTTTAGGAAGCTACTATCACCTCTGAGGCTTTTTGCTCTTAATTTTTTTTTTAATTTACAAAAATCTGTTCCCAGAGCAAAGGGCACCGAGAAGGAATGCTCAGGACCTTCTGCTGTCTCTAGGCAGAACCTGTGAGTTCAAGGTGTGATGATACAAAACAGCAAGCAGCTTTAAATCAGATCTGTTTTTTTTTAACAGGGATGATTTGTGCTTGCTCTCCCTTCCCTCCTTCCTGCAAGCTCTGGCAGAAAATGTCACTTGCTTTCTCCTTTTGACTTCTGCTGTCTTATTGAAAGGAATCTACACTCAGAAGAGTGGGCCAGTTCTGTGCACAGGAGGGAATATGATGGTGCAGTCACAGTTAGGTGGGGAAAGAATGGGGACAAAACCCAGAGAGGCTGGGCTGTCTCTGCAAATCTGACCTTCAAAATCCTTCTGGATTTCTTCCCTGAAGTGCAGATTCCCTAGTGTACAAATTGTGTGCCTTTACAAATGAGTCCATGATTTGAAAATATTTCCCAGGATAATTTAATGGCTTCCTCACACTGGTGTTGTATGTGTGACTTGGAAAATAACATTTTCTGTTGGAAAAATTAAGCACATTTTTTTTTACAAAAGTTTTTACAAAATTGCCTTTTAAAATTTTCGTTGCAATATCTGTTCACCAATAAAAGGAGAATGCCATTTCTGATCAACATCCAATTAAGTATCCATCTGTGTCTGTAAGCATCACAACTTATTTTCAGTTCTGTGTTCTCATTTCAGTAGAAAAATGGTCTTTTGCTTGCACCACCTTGAGATTCCCTCTTCTAGTACTGTTACTAGAAAGGTGAATGGCAAGAAAGGAGTGGGAGTTTTTCAATAAAGTCTCTTCTTGCTGTTCAGTACATTTTTCAGAGGGAACTAAATACAGACATTTTTTTCTTTCTTTGAGACAAGGATTTCCTTGGCATAGATATTTTTTGCCAAACGGACTGTATTCTTCCGTGAAGCAAAGTCTGTTTGAGTCATGGTAGGGTTATTTTTTTCCCACTGAGACAAAGGCAAAGCTCTGGTATATATATATATATATATATATATTAATAAAGGAATTGATGATGTCTAAAGAGCCAGTTCAATGGACCTGTAGAGTACAAACCTTACCAGAACATGTGGGGTTTTTCTATATACACAGAAACACATCAGTGTCATGAAATTACTATTCCCTCCTCTACTGCCAACTCACTGAAAGTCACTGTGTGAGGGATCAAACCAGTGTGGTTGGAGTAGTTAAACATCCCACTTAATATTAAAAAAACTCCAATAAAATAATTTTAATTGAGCTGTTAGCAAGGTGGCAATGTGCAGATGAAACATATTTTTTTCTGGCTGATAGACCAGAGAGATGGAAAGGCAAGTGCAGGTGTTGCTATAGCCCCTTTGGGAGCTGTGAGGTAAATGATGTTTCCAAATAGGACATTTGTGGAAAAAATGTCCTACAGCTGACTTTGGCTGCCCTTTAGCTTCATGTCAAGCTGTTCTTTGTGCTCCCCAGGCTAAAAGGTTGAACAGTGCAGAAATTGTTCTGCAGTTATTAGTATGAATGTTTAAGTATGTTTTCATTTGGCCAAGCTAATACTCCTTTGGTTTGTGTCTGAGCAACCAATATTTTCCCTGTGTGTACATTTCAAAACTCTCAGAGAAGGTATTTTTCAATTTAAAGTTCATGGCCAGAGGAAAGCTGGGAGCTGCACTAGCAGATACAAAACAAATTCCACTTATTCCATCATCAAATTTGTGTTTTAGTTACCTGTATAATAGGAGAATTATTTGAGAATACATGTTTGTGAGTGAATTACATAGAAATACTGATTTTACTGACATGCATTTATGTCTCAGAATGTGTGTATTCATCTTTTAGGTTTGTTGGTGCTCTGCAGTAGCCTTGGAAATAAATTAGTTCCTACATGATGTTTACTGCTTACATGAAATTACTGTCTCCAGAAAGTCTTCTTTGAAGCTGCTTTCAAGAGAGGGTTACTCAGCGAAAGTATGCAGAAAGTATCTTTTCCACAATATTTTTGGTCTAAAAATATTGTGGAAAAGAGGAACATGTATATCAGGAACATATTTAGTTTAAAAAACATTTTAGTCTGTTTTTTGGAAGGGATATGCTGAGTTTATTGTTCAGGATTTCGGGTTTGTGGGTTTTTTTCCTCATATGTAGCAGGTTTGGTCTTGCCCATCTCCGTCTTTCTTGTGATGTCTGATATTAACCAACCCTTCTTTCCTTAGCTGGTGTTTCACTCCCATGAGTGTTTTCGTCATTTCCTTGCACCATACAGCAATTAATTCATTAGCCTGAAGGAAGCATGAACTCTATTTTAGTATTCTCTAAAAATGAAGTTTCAGAGTGGGTTAGGGCACACAGGACAGTGCTGAGCTTGGCACTGTGCCTTTAGAAGCAGGGAAGTACCCTTATATTATGTATTACATACATGTATGTATACACTAACATGCTTGCAGGCAGCTTGGGATGGATCAGGAAAACAAAGAAGGATTCTCAGGGTACAGAAAAATCTCTCTGAACCATCCGTGCTTCCTCAGGGTGCTCAAGTGCTGGTTGGCCGCCTCTACAGAAATGTAGTTTTTCAGATAAGATCTCACTGCTGCATTTTCTTGCCTACACTTTGTTTTTTGAAGTGCCATAAATTTATAATTTACTGTACTTCTGAAGCTGTAAAGGATTTGTTCCATGCCATTCATCTGTAAGTGAATGTGGTGTTTGAAGGATCTTTATTCTGTGTTGTATTCCAAGAGAAAATTCAGGTGAAAGGCAAAGTGTGAATAATGAAGACAGAATGGTAACTATTGATCTCTCCAAGAAAATTTCTTTGAAGTTGCTTCAGGTAGTTTTGGGTAGATAATGTACAAGTTATCAATCAGATAAATAGCTTGGTCTTTTTATTTGCACTGAAGCAATGCAATTTATTAAATTATAACTTGAAGTAAAATGTAGGATACTGGTGCGGATAGATAATGTTTTTTGCTTGCAGCCCCTAGTATTTAATACTTCTTTCCTGGCAGATTTGAGAGTATCTAAATCAGCCTTGAGGTTCTCATATAACCAGGGCTTGCATGGGAGACAATCAAGGACTTCCTGAATGGTGTATTAGATATTCCTAAAACATCTTTGTGTGACTCACCAGCATGGTGGTGCTCTGCTGAGAGCAATCTGTGTGACACCTCTGGAGCCAGAGCCTGTAGCTGTGCCTCTGACAATTCAGTAGCACTTCTTTATTTAATAAGTCTTTGATATATAAGGTTCCCATGCAGAATGGTTCTGCTGGCAACCTAATTCAGTGTGACTCCAGTACCATTTTTCATGAGTGCGTAAATGAAAGAATAATTTGGTGTAACAGGATGAGTTCACTAGGAAAAGGTAAATTAAGAAAGCCAACATGATGCTGAGCAATAAGATGCTCTTCTGTAGAGCCAGCCTGGCACAGCTGGGGCTGTTGAGCTGCACAAGAGAAGGCTCCAGGGACACCTCAGAGCCCCTGCCAGGGCCTCCAGGGGCTCCAGCAGAGCTGCCCAGGGACTGGGGACAAGGCCTGCAGGGACAGCAGCCAGGCAATGGCTCCCACGGCCAGAGGGCAGGCACAGATTTTGGGCTCTTGGCAATTAGGAATTGCTGGCTGGGAGGGTGGGCAGGCCCTGGCCCAGGGTGCCCAGAGCAGCTGTGGCTGCCCCTGGATCCCTGGCAGTGTCCCAGGCCAGGCTGGATGGGGCTTGGAGCACCCTGGGACAGTGGAAGGTGTCCCTGCCCATGGCAGAGGGGTGGCACTGGGTGAGGTTAAAGGTCCCTTCCAACCCAAACCACTCTGGGGCTCTGTAAACACATTCTGTCTGCAACCAAAAGCAGTGAGTTGTTTAAGGTAACACTGTGGAGAGCAGGCTGAGCTACTTGTGTAATTCTTTCCTACTGTTCTGTTCCTGTGCAGGCTGCTGCATTGCTGGAGACCACGTCTAGCTCACCCAGCCTCCTAGACAACGTGCTCAATGCTTTGAGACTGGAAGGACCTTGCTCTGCAATGAAGATGGAGGCAGTAGGAAAAGCAGAAGAACTTGTTGATTCAGAAATTCCACCAAAGACTTCTGAAAAGCAAGAGACTGCTCCTGATGAAGACAGGCCTATAGAACTGGAGACACAACCTCAGAAGGACAGCGCGCCCACTGCAGCAGACTCTGCAGTGCTCTCTTCCATGCCTTGCTTGCTGATGGAGCTGAGGCGGGACTCCTCGGAGTCTCAGCTGGCATCTACAGAGAGCGACAAGCCAGCGGGTGGCCGAGTTTATGAGAGTGACTCTTCTAACCACTGCATGCTTTCCCCTTCCTCCAGCGGGCATTTGGCCGACTCAGACACGTTGTCTTCCGCAGAGGAGAACGAGCCCTGCCAAGCTGAAGCCGCAGCGGAGGGAGACCCTTCTGCGGTGTCCGGAGCTGCGGTCGGGAGGAAATCCAGGAGATCCAGGTCCGAAAGTGAGACTTCAACAATGGCTGCCAAGAAAAACCGACAGTCTAGCGATAAGCAGAATGGCCGAGTTCCCAAGGTGAAGGGTCACCGGAGCCAAAAGCACAAGGAGAGGATCCGGCTGCTGAGGCAGAAGCGGGAGGCGGCTGCTCGCAAGAAGTACAACCTGCTGCAGGACAGCAGTACCAGCGACAGTGACCTGACCTGTGACTCCAGCACGAGCTCGTCAGACGACGACGAGGAGGTTTCAGGGAGCAGCAAGACAATCACTGCAGAGATACCAGGTAGAGGATGTTTTTTAAACTGAACTGTAACGCGCCTGACATCGTTTCTCAGCTGTCATGCTAAGTTAGATGAGTGACACTTGAGAAAAACCCAGGAGAACTGCAGCTCTGTGTAAATTTGAAGACTGCAGTGTAATAACAAGACGTGGGCAAATTTTAAAAAATCTCTTCTGTGAGGTTCCTGTGCACTTTTGCACACCAACAAAGCAGTAGATATGGTAAATGGGAGGAAGGACTACCTTTGAATTCTGGATTTTTCAGATCTTTGTAAGCCTATATGAACTCATGTCAGTGCTGTCAAATCCCCTTAGATGATGATAATCTTATTCTTAAGATAAGTGGCCAGCTTTGCTGTAATATAAAAAGCCCACAGCTTGGCAGCTGTGTTAGAAATGGCACGGCACACCTCTTGCCTGTGTAACAGTAAGGCCCTGGCCATTATTGCACTTACTCTGTGCTTTCAGCTCAACATGTCAGTGCATGACAAACCTGCTTAGCCTTATTCTAAGTTCTTTCAGATTGCAGCTGGTCACCTATTTTAGGATACAGATGTGATTACACAGGTGCCCAAGCTATATTCACACCTAAATTTTCAATATTTTAGACAAAGTTGTTACCATTTTCCTATGTCGTTAGGATCAATAATTTCTACACTTTAAACTTTCTGACACATCTGTGTTAAGATGGAAGGCAGCAAATTATAGGGGCCTTCTTGTCATTTTATTAGTGTCATTTTATTAGCAAAAGAAAGTTGAATTCTTCAAGGTTTTTGTCTGCCGAGTCTTTGTTATTTTATTAGTCCAAGTGCTGTGGACAGGATTTTGTGTGAATTATTCTTGCAGCATATTATACCATAGAACCATCATCATATGGCAATCAAAAATAAAATCCATAAAAATAAAAATACATAAAAATAAACTTTTTTTGCTTGCCAATTTTTACTGGGTTACATGCCTTTTTGCCTGTTGTGCTAGAAGTTTTTTCTTTTTGAGAAAAATAACATCTTACATAGGGCAAGAACATTTAAAGGAAAACTGCAATATTAAGTTACTGAATTAATGCTTTCTAGACGAATTATTTAAAATACTGCAGCAGATTTTACAAATAACTGACTTAACTGAGTTGATTATGGTGGATGATGTTGTCACCATGAAAACTGGCATTTTTCCCACACCTGCTAGGAAGCAGGTTGCACAATGGAAGTAAATGTTTATTATTAGAATGTCTAGAAAAGGCATAATATCCTCCTATAATTATTGTGTAGTAAACTTTTAATAGAAATCTAAAATTATTTTTACCAATTTAGTAGTTAGTCTTGTATTTTTCAGAGTTTTTGCTTTTTTATTTATAATATTTACACTTTGGGCAATTCAATCCTAATTTAAAGCCTGTTGAAGAATAACTATTTCACTGATTTTTGGGACAGGTTGTTCCCCACCTCTCAAAAAACCCCAAAACACACAGAATAAGTCCCTCAGGTCGCATTCTTTTTTTAAGTCATAAAAGTACCTTGTGACCCAGAATGGCACCAGATGGTATTTTCAGGTTTCTGAGGGCCATTGTGGGGACCTGATGGGGCCATTCCAGGATATTTTGTGTATCCCTGGGTGCCTCTGTATTTGACTCCCAGTCCTGACCACACATGAGATGCTTTTGGTGGAAGGGTCCCATCACATGAAGAGCTTGACTATTAGTGATGGTTACACCAAGGCCCAGCTTCACCTGCAGTGCAAGAGTGGCCAAACCATCCTGAGGGAGGGACAGTAACATTTATTCTGATTTCACAGCATCTGCTCGGTGCTGAGTTCTGTTTAAAACATTAAGAGGTTTGAGCTGCCCCTTGGAGCAACGGGGTGCAACGTGTACCTGCCACATTGCGGTTTTCCTTTAAATAGAAATGGCTTTGCTTTGTGGGAAACGCCTTCCAAGTGCGAGGGAAAAATACCCTCTGTAGAGATAAGGATGTGGTTTGTCCAAAAAACACATCCTGTGCTGCTCTTGGGTGAAGGAGACGCTGTGGTTGTCAGAGCTGCGGTGGAGCTGCGAGTCTGGTCGGACTCCCAGCGCTTCGTCGCTGCGGTGGCTTCCCAGGCCATCTGCCATCCCTCTGCCTGGAGCTGGCAAAGGACTCAGTTCCTTTCTCTGGCTAGAGAGCCATTTTAGGGCACTTAGCAAAACACTGCGAATAGCCTCAGAATTGAGGGAGCGAGTTGAGTGTAGATAGAAAACAATGCAGGGTGTCAAAAAGCATTATTAGAATTTCAGTCTGCCAGTGTTCTGGAGAGTTGAACGGTTTGACTTCAGTGTCAGGAGGTAGGCATGGAAACTTTTGCCTTTACTTTTAAAAGAGTTATCTCTACACATTGATGCAGAAGAGTTTTTTACAGGCAGCTTGTGTTCCCCTTAGTCTGTGTCTGGACATTCAGCTGCAGTCTTGGTTACTTACTTAAACACTTATTTTCATATAGTTTTCATTTTTAGCCTTCTGTTGCCCAAAAACCAGCTTTGCCAACAGAGATGCTTTAAAAAAATATAGTGACAGGTAATTTGGCCCTCATTATAGAAATTACACAGACTCTTAAGCTGTCAACACAGGTAGTGTTAACAGCAGGCAGTTTGCTTGTGTGTGGTCTGAAAAATTAAGTTGCCACATTTGAGAATACAGTAACCTTTCATGTTGTGTCACTAGAACTATTCAGTTTAAATAGTGCAATAGTTTAAATAAACCTTTTTTTTAAACCATCCACATCACTGGCTCTGAAATAGGTTTGGCTAAATTTGTAAGGTAAAGAAAATGTTCAGTGAAATATGTGATGATGATGATGATGATGATGCCATTAAGTTACAAACAGAGCAGCTGTTCAATAGACAGTCAGGTCTCTCTGCTGAGCTTAAAGGTACTGTGGATTAAATTAGTGCCAGGCTTGTTTTTCTCCTCAAGGAAGACTGAAGAGTTGAGATTTTACTGGTGATATTTCAATACAAGTACTGTGTGCTGCACAGGAGCTCAGCACAGTGCAAGTTATGGAATTCTGACTGCATCCTGTGGTGTTAATTTACACCTGAAAATACAGGTTCAGTCTAAACTTCAGGGATGCTCCTGAGAGCCTTTTCACTGGCATGAGCAGTCATAATCTTTGGCTCTTTGTTTCAGGGAATGCTGTGATTTTTGGGTTATTGCAGATGAGGAGCAGCTTTTTACCTTTTCATGGCTGAGCCTCTCTGTTGGCATCTAAAATTTTGCCATTCTTCAACACCACATAAACATGGCATAGGAATCCTGAAATAGATTCTGCTAGGCTTCCTTTTGTAGTAGGAAGTTTTTCCTTTAAACAATTTCCATGTGATGTTGCATATTAACTCTGAATGAAATTAGCATGAGAACAAGTCTGGGAATCAATATTTATTGCTATGTAAACACTTCTTTTTTGGAAGAAGCAAGGGATTTTTAAAAATTCAAATAATATACAAAAATATTTTGCATTTTACCACCATTGTGGTTTCTACAACTCAGAAAAATCTGAATTGAAATGGGGATGACTTATATTTTAGGCTATCACAAAAATCTGTCAAAAAGTTTGAGTCTTAATGTTGAAAAAGCCACATCTCATTTTGTGAAAAAAAAGACAAATCTTTTTAAATATGCATTAAACCCAAAGAGATGGGCACAGGCTCCTTCCTCCTAAGAGCTGTGCATAGATCTTGGATAAAGCATCTGCAAAGGATGAATTCAGAATGACAATTATAGTTAATAGATAGGAAAGATAATTAGTCTGTTAAGAATGATTTGCTGTAAGATACTAATTTGGAAGTGTCTGCAGCAGAATAACACAGAGGAACCAACCATTGCTAGTTAGAATGAAGATGAAGCATATCTTACATTGTTATGTTGCCAGACTTACTAAATTAAATTACTTTGGATTTGGTTATTACCTAGATTGTTCTTAAGAGATCCCATAAAATGACAACATTGGGACATTTCTTGGGTGCTGTTTTGCAGGAGGTGTCGTCTTGAAAATGAGAGAGGAATCTTTGATTCTCACCCCTTAGTGACCTTAAATTTCTTCTCCTTTAAACTTAGCATAATTAGAAAACTATAGTTTAAAGTTTATAGGCAGAAGAGGGACCAATTAAATAAATACTGGCATTTTTAATATGTAAAAATGCATTTTTAGGCTTGGGGATTTTTTTTTAAGAAAAGATTAAATACAGCTTGTTGTAGTAACTGCACAGGAAGCATTTAAACATTGTTTTGCTGCTGCTGTAAATTTGAGATACTCCATCATACTTTATGATGCCTTTTAAAATTTGTATTGCAGGGCTATATATATTTCAATACATACTTTATTCAGTTTACAAAACAGTTTTGTCAACTTTGACCATTCTAGTTCATTCTTAATTTCAAAAACTTGAAAAGATTGTCTCACTTATCAACATCAATAGTTTTTATTTAAATTGGAATTAAAAATTAACATTACTTACTTGTATGTCTATGGAAATCAGAAAGATTATAAGTTAGTTCCTTGAATTTAAGTTAAGATCTGGGCTAAAGACAAATACACAGAATCATATTGGATGTTCAGTATTAGAAGTAAATGAACAGAAGAAATACTTCTTTTAGGGAGGAAAAAAGTTATTGAACATACAAAAGGAGCCATGTTTTGCAAAAAAAAAAAGTATCATTTTACTTAATTCGTTTTGGTTAAAGTGCAGTTGGAGGGATGTAAATTAGTATAAAGTAAATATTTTTAGCAGAGGACCTGAATGCTGAATTTCCAGCATGTCTGATGGGTAAACAGATGGGCAAGAAAGACTTAAAAACTACTCTTCAGAAATGAGAGAATAATCCAGGGCTTTGTTTATCTGTTCCTGTAGGATCTGTGTATACCTCATTTAAACAGTTCCTAAAAAGAATGTGGTATTTAAGTGATACTGTAATTTTGTGTACTCAGTGAAATCCCAATAAAGATTTAGTGCCTTAGGTTTTTATTAGTAAATAT